TTTTCCCCGTTGGGGGCCATTTTTAACTCCTTTTTAAATTTTTCCCTTTTTTAAAGGGGGAATAAAAGTCAAGGATTTGTAGGTTCTAATTCTTCTTTTTTTTTCTGTTGGACCCCCATTATCTTAGACAAGACCAGTTTTAAAAAAAATCAAACACTAAGTAACCCCACTCTAAAAAACATAAAATTAAAACATTTTAAATATATATTACATTTAACATTCCCTTAACTTTCAAAACAATCAATCACAATATCAATCATATTCATTCCAAAATGGCTTTTAAATTTAAAATCAAAAATTTTAATTACAAAACATAAAAAAACGTACATTTTACAAACAAAAATATCACACCACCAGTTTTTTGGAACAAAATGTTTTAAAATCAAAAAAAAATTTCCAATATACCCTCCTCTCTCTTTTCCCCTCCCGTGTGCTTTACTATTCCTGCAAAATTTTAGTAAAAACAATGTGCCCCTAGAGTTTGAATAAAAATGGATTTTTTTATTTTATTTTAATTTTATTGAGAAAAGAAAGATATGGGTACTGCCAAAAAAAATTTTAAAAAAAAAAAGTTTTTTTAAAAAAGTCCAAAAAAAAGACACAGCAAAAACCCTTTAAAAAATTAAATTTAAAAAAACTATTTTTATAATTTTAAATTTTTAAAAAAACATTTTAAAAAAAAAAATCTTAATTTCTTTTGGGAAAATCAAAAAAGCAGTTTAAAAAAATTTCAATACCTTTTTAAAAATTAAAAACTGATATTCCATAAACACAAAAATTTTTAAAAACCATGAGGACAATTTGGACATTTCTCTTCCCCGAAAAAGTGGGGCTTTAACGAAACACAAAAAGTCCCCATGACAAAACTGGGGGGAAAACATAACCACTGACCCTAGAAAAAACACGGTTCCCAAAGGGGAAAAAAATCTCTTAAAAAAGACATATAATAAAAGACTGAAGATTGTTTCCCTTTTTTCATATTGTTAATGTTTCCAAATTTTACTATTTTTTTTTATTTTCGCAAAAATCCAAAGATTTTTATAAAATGTGTCAAAAAAATTTAAAAAAAAAACAGTGTGCTTGAAATTTTTTTTCGGAAAAAGGGAAAATTAAAAACTTGGGCTTAAAATAAGTTTTTTAAGTCCAAGATAAAAAGAAACAACATTTTTTTCTTTTTGTTGTTAGTTAAGGAAATAAATTAAAAATCCAATTACAACCAAAAAAACAAAAGAACAATTAAAGGTTTGGCAAAAAATTTTAAAAAAAATAAAAGGGGAATGGCCGAAATATCCCAAAAAATTCCCTTTTTTTTTTATTTCTAAAAAAAATTTTTTAAAGAACTCCCGGTTCCCAAAAATTTTTTTTTGCCATTTTTCGGATTTAATTTTTTTTTTTTTTCAATGAATTTTTAGTTATAAAGAAAGGATTCTGTAAGGAAGACAAAAAAAAACTGTGGTTTTCAATTTGGGGTAAATTTAATGACCCAAAAAATTTTCGGTCAGCGCTTATTCCCCACTTAAGGGGAAACCAAATTTTTTTAAACATGCCCCCCAAAAACCAAATTTTTCACATGCCCTAAAAACTTTAAATTGTTGCCCTTTACAACCCCAAGAAAAGAAACACAATTATTTCTGAGCAAATTTTTAAGCCCTTTAAAAATGATCAAAAATTTACATATTTTTTAAACCCAAAGTATATTAAAAAAGACTTAACACTATTTTTAAAACCCTTTTTCCCGGGAAAAAATATAAGGGCACGTTTATAGTTTTAAATACATAGACTTAAAATTTAAATTTTTAACCCCCAATTTAACAATCGCTTTTGTTTTCACTTCAGTGAATACTAAATTAACATGAATATCATTATGAAATCAGTGTTATCTGATTCACTGATGATGTGTTATTATTTAATTTATTTTACGTATACAATGTAGACCAGTATTGAAAATATCATATTTCATTTCCTTTTATTATAGAAATTTAGTTTAAAGCGAGTATGAAGTATGTATGAAGCAAGGATTAACATTTCTAAAGTATGTTTATAATGAACCATGAATGTTTACTACACTGCAATCTCAGAGATTCTTTTCGGCTTACGACCTATAAGCTGTTTATGGCTTCAAATATTTCTTGAATGGTAACAACAGTCCTTGTTCTATGGCACAAAAGTGTGACAAAATAACTTCTGATAGATTCACGTATTATATTGTATTTAATTATATGATCTAAATATAGATGCAATCTCATTGGTCCAAACGGTAGTCAACTGAACTATTCATTAAATCATATATATTCACCGGGTGAAGTATCAAATTCACTGGCTAAATTGGATTTTCCAAGTTAAAAATAGATTTAGACTCATATTTAATGACCATACATCGTAGACTGTTAACTGCGCGTGCGTATAAAAAGTAAGTGTTGCGTTTTGTTCTTAATGTCATATTTCTCAATGACAGTATCATTTCGTTACTATACACTCAGAGGCACTTATGACCCGACACTTACATTTTTCGGTATAACTTGGTTATTTGTGAACAGATTTTGATCAGTTTTTGAACATACACAAATTCAACATATCATACGTATTTATCTAAAATTATACTTCTAATTCATTAACAAGAAAATAGAGAAATTAACAAAACAAATATGTTACTGCAAAATGAAAAATGACTGTAAATATCGTAACACAATGAAAAGTCCTTAAATCCTACTGATTCCGTATAATAACCAGTTCTAATACTTTCCGTGTCATCCAATGACTATAAAAAAGTGTAAACACCTGTCTCATGGTTATGACGTAGTGAAGGCTTGGGGAATATTTCTCAATTCCGGAATAAGGGCTTCCTCGAGTTCCATCAAGTCCTGCATTCCAAGACACCAGATCTAAACATAACACTTGTCGGCTGAATTGAACAAGCGTGTGAGAAAGCGGCCAATTTGCATGGAACTCTAGCAAGCCCTTATTTAGATATGTTTATGCTGTTATAGCCAATTGGGAGGACATACAAAGTGTTTGAGCTGGTTAACATACAGCTTTAGCGGGATTCAGAGACTGTTCATTGTGTTACGATTTTTAGTCATTTTGTGATTTTTCATTTTACAGTAGCCTATTTCTTTTGCTATTTTTTCTATTTTTTTCAATGAATTGTTAATATAATTTCAAGTAGTATGTATGATATGTTGAATTTTGTAAAGTCCAAATTTGAACAAAATCCGTTCACAAATAACCTATGTATACAGAAAAATGTCAATGTCAGTGCCTCTGAGTGTAATAGTTAAAAGCGGCACCGCAATGATGTTAATAAACTTGAATAACATTTATTTGTGCATCGTTCTCGTAGTCGTTGAACGACTGACGTCATTTTGTCTACAGTTCGTCTTTTTCCCGCGCGCTTTAATGAAAATAGACAAACGTTGTGTTTTGCATTTCATTATAAGGCTTAAAGCAGCAGGACTCTAGAAGGTAACAGAAAAACTACCGTCGTAGTAATCCTCAAAAACATTTATATATAGTTTAAAGAAATGGTAATGACACTTCAAAATGTTCACATTTTAACATCCTTGTTATGAAGAAAAACATCTTGCTTTTCCGCCAACGGGATATACCTTCTTTTTTATCGTACGAAATTCCTTTATCCGTTTTTGTTCTAGTTCCATATGATTGTTCAGGTCAGTATGTCGACCAGTGATCCGGAACGCACAGACTCACATAGATGGAAACGAATAAACTGCTTTGGTTTTGATATTTATAGTATTTTGTGGCACTAAAATATAATTGATTAATTTTATAATATATATGATGGCAAATATATCGATTTAAACTTTAGCTTGAAATATGATTAGGGCCTAACCATTGACGGCAATTGATATACGACCCCGGGGGGTACCGGATACCAGGATTTTACCGAACCACTGCTGTTACACATGACCAAATTGAATCAATTATCTTCTATTTGTACATGCTACTGCGTTAGTTATGAAGTAGATTATGCAGAGAAGAAGCACGGTATATTTATGCTTTTGTCAACATTCTTTCTTGAATAAAGATGCGTGCGAGTGTTTGCGTGCGTGCGTGAGCGTGTGCGTGTGTGTGTGTTTCTCAATTGTATAAAAGCCGCATTATTAGCTTATAATTTTTTTAATGTAATTATTGTATTTATTTATCTTAAGCGAATATCACTCAAAGCTAGATAGTTAAATCAAAATGTAAGTTGTAACATGACACGTTGATTGTTTAATTCTCTTATAACATGTACTGATTTGGTTTCATATCTCTTGTGAAAGTATCTTTTTTAATCAGGTGAACTTCTAAAAGCCTATTATGTATAGATACCATTGGCGTGACATCTTGAATTATTGCATTTACTTTTCAATAACCACATGCTGATCCATGATCTATCAAATCTATAAACATTAATATATATTTTTACAATTTGTAAAGTGCACTTTATTAGCTCACCAGAACCGAAGATTCAGGGTGAGCTATAAGTATCAAGGGGGGGGGGGGGGGGCAGCCGTCGACCGTCGTCATACGTCAACAATCGTCTTCTTCTCTGAAGAAGATTACTTCAAATTTGGTCTGTAGTATCGTTGTGACAATCACACTTAAATTTGCTCCTGTCATTTCAATGAGCCCCTTTTAGGGGTCAAAAGAGCTAAAAAAATAGGAAAAACCTTTAAACATCTTCTTTTCCAAAACTTTGTCTGTAGCGTTCTTGGGTAGTCTTTTATCATGACTGCTCATATTAATTGGACCCTAAATATGTATTTTAGCCTAAAAAAAGCTAATAACTATGCTTTTTTAAAAATATTTGGTTTTACAAATCAAGACGTTTATTATTAAATATTTGTAAAAATGAAAAGAAACAAGTTCTGTATTTGATGAGCAATAGGGATCGCAAGAAAAGCAAACAATAATGATACCGTTTTAGCGGAATTTACAATAATATCTTGGCTAAAGGAACCGTATAATTACAATAGGATTATATAAAATGCATTTGTTTTATGAATTAACGTTTATGATTGTATCTTTCTTTTGCAGGTCTACAGGAACCATGGATTTGATAGACACGCAAACATTTGGCTTTGTTATTGCGTTTCTCGTCGCTTTTGTCGGATTGGTCATAGCATGCTCAAAACGTTTTCCAAACGGTAAAATGATTTCTTTTTTCTTATATATTAATGCGTATAAGTTTAACAATAAGGGACATCCGTGGTCGAGTTGTTATGGTCGTTAACATCAAACACTTGCCCCACTACGTTGCGTTGTGGGTTCGAAACCCACTAAGGATGTGGTGATTTGATATTTATTTCATGTATTGAATCTATCCAGCTGGCTTACGGAACGTCAGTGATGATACTCACTTGCCTAAAGCAATACAAGGTGGGGTATTTTAGGTCTCCCTCAACAAGTAAAGCTTGAAACTTGCCACATGAACTATATAGTGATTGAAAACATATCAGCCAAATCAAGAAACTTATCTGATGATGAATATCAGGTTTTGCAGAGATATACAATAAAAACAATTTGGGAATAAGGAAGTAACGGCTATGATATGTCTATTATTCTCAGGTTAAAACGATATTTTTAGTTCATTATGAACGAATTTTGTGCGTCTGATTACAACAAAACATTATTTTCGGACACCAGTACCCCCTTTTTGGTGTGGAGACAAATACAGGTAAACTAATGAGGGTATTACATTAAATATATAAATATAACGGTTATTTGTTTGGGTTTTATCTTATGGGCCATTTATTTTCAATTAGAATATAATTTTGAATTAGGACCACAAATGGACACGTGGATGTCACTGATCAGAACTTTTCACAATGTAGAGAGTATGTTTAAGCGGCCGGATAGCTCAGTCAGTAGAGCAGTAGAACGGTATTTCAAGTTCTATTTTCAAGTTCTTGTTGTCGAGTCCCTGTCAGGCTGCACGGTTTTTATATACGTGTGACATTTGGTGCCAAAGGTGGGTAACCGAGAGAAATTCCAGCGTAGCGGGGGAGCATGGCATTATTCAGAACTTTTCACTTTTTATTGTAAGAGGTCGAAAAGCTTAGTCGGTACGGCCATGAAACGGTATCCGATGGTCCCGGGCTCGAGTCCAGCTCAGGCTGCACATCTTTCTCACCCCGTGACATGAAAAACTACATGCGCATTGATCATTATCCTCTTCAACTCTTGCTAATTCACAGATATATATTCAATGATCAAAAAGTCGTTTACGTTTACTTCAATCACATATCAATTGCTTGATTTAATAATGTTTTGAGCTTATTTTTGTTTATTTTCTTTATCCTAGTGCTGACTTTTACATATTCATGACAACAAACATTTCTAAAAATAGACTACATCAAATGACAATGCATGAATTGAAAAGAACTGTATAAGGGTCTAATAGCTTTTCAATTTTGTTCAATACTAGTTCATACTTAAATTTGTAAAATTTACTGTTCAATATTTGGCTTAATTATGTTTACCGGAAATCAACAGATCTTTTTAATCGATGCACATTTCGATGAATCAAATGAAGTTGGTCCCTCGTGAATAATATCTGGACTGCAGGAATACCCTCTTTTTATATGACATTGTATTATATATAATTTGCTTGGGTAACACATGATAAGTACTGGAAGAGGACCCGTCCTGACTTTGGGCGGGTTGTGTTGGGGCTACCTTTATCGAAACCGTTAATAACAACAGCAGTTGAATTTTGTTTAAGTTTTGTTTTACAAAGGGATTTAATAATAAGACAGGTTTAATTATTCAAGAAGTCAGTAGGTTAGATTGGGAACAATATTTATTGGATTTTTATGTCCGTAAGATACACCTTGATTCATTTTACATTAAAAACTCTGGAAAGTTGAAAAAGCATATTTCATATTTGTAGCCAAAATAATGGCTACATACATTTCCACAAAAGTATGAGTGCTGAAACTGAAAGTTCAAAATTTTTCCAACATTCAAGAAAGATAAATTTGTCCAAAATCATTGAACCATGACCAAATTCAAACTTAAACTGCTTATTCCTAAGATGTATCTATATTATTTTCAAAGTGAAAGGGACATAACTCTGCCAAAAATCATCGAACCATGACCAAATTTAAACTTGACCTGCGCCTTCCTTTGACATATTCATATGTCATATGGGTAAATAATGAACAGAAACTGTAATTTCATATTATTTTCAAAGTGAAAGGGGCATTACTCTGCCAAAAATCATTGAACCATGACCAAATTCAAACTTGGCCTGGGCATTCCAAAAACTTATCCATATGTCAAATTTGAGTTGAATGTGTTGTACCGTTGGGGAGATAATAAACAGAAACTGAAATTTTCATATTATTTTCAAAGTGAAAGGGGCATAACTCTGCCAAAAATCATCGAACCATGACCAAATTCAAATTGACCTGTATTTTTCATGATATATCCATATGTCAAATTTGAGTTAAATGTGTTGTACCGTTGGGGAGATAATAAACGGAAACTGAAAATTTCATATTATTTCAAAGTGAAAGGGGCATAACTCTGCCAAAAATCATCGAACCATGACCAAATTCGAACTTGACCTGTATTTTTTCATGACATATCCATATGTCAAGTTTGAGTTTAATGTGTTGTACCGTTGGGGAGATAATAAACGGAAACTGAAAATTTCATATTATTTCAAAGTGAAAGGGGCATAACTCTGCCAAATATCATCGAACCATGACCAAATTCGAACTTGACCTGTATTTTTTCATGACACATCCATATGTCAAATTTGAGTTGAATGTGTGCAACCATTACTAAGATAATGAACGGAAACTGATGATGACGGAATGACAGAATGACGGAAGGACGGAATGACGGAAGGACGGAAGGACGGAACAGGGTAACACTACATGCCCCGGCCATTACATGGCGGGGGCATAAAAATCATTCGCGTAACCGAGGTTTAATTTGACAAACGACTTGAAATTTAGAGTATATGATAAGTCATTTTGTCGTAGCATATTTCCTCAAATTTTAAGAGCACATTATATAAACATCACTAATTGTGTCATTGTCTCATGATTCACATATCTTAACAGTTCCTTAAGCTTAAACATATTTGAGTGAAGTGTGTTATATTCAATTATATACCGTTTCCTTACAACTCTGTATCTCGCACATATAAGCATAAGGTGAAATTCGTCTGCTTCCTCGCCATTTTATCATATTTGACACTGTCCTGTCTATTATATTATATACCAATAATACACGTTTGACATTTATATCACTTCTCCATTCCTGAAGAAAACAGTCAATCACAATCTTTTTAAAACATGGAATCACATTCTTGTATATTTCCCAAAGATATCCATGTCGATGTTTCCTAATAAAACTTTAATCTTATATGCCCAGTTCTTTTAACCATTAGTAGCATAATTTGACAGCTTCCTGCATGCGTTCTTGATGATTCAATTTATGGTATTTAAGTCTGTAATTTAGAACTTGAATATCTCTACAAGACGATTAATCTAAAGTGGATAGCAACCTGACTCTCCATATACAGAATCATAACACACTGGCATTTTAGCAGTAAGAAGTCTTTTACAAAACCTTTACTGCACTCTTTCAATATCTTTCGCTTTTTGATTACCCAACACCTCTGCTACATTACTTAATTTACATGTCACAAATAAACCAAACAGTTGTCATTGAATTTTGGAGTAGAATCGAATTCACGAATATTATAGGGTTAACGCACGTTTTTCCGTGTTATAACGTCTGCAGAGTCCCGAGGAACGGTTGGTGGCCGAGCCCGGTAGGGCGAGGGCTCCAACAGTTCTGAGGGACTCTGCAGACTTTTATATCCTACTTAAATAAGTGTCCCTTCTATTATTGATTTATATCCTACTTTAATAAGTGTCCCTTCTTTTTCCTACTGTAATCTCACTTTTGTTTTGAATTCCTACTTTTTAAGCACTCAACAAATTTGCAAACATAATTGTACTTATAAATCTGTGTTAAGTATCAATTCAGGATTGTAAGAATCTTTCACCTGTAGCACAAGACCTTGCTGGCTGTCCAACATGCTATTTCACGTTATCTGTGACAGTCGGGTAAAAGTCACACTAGCTTGTATGGGTTCTCTTCACATCCACGGTAACAATTTATTTTTGATTTATATCTTAATGAAAATGGCCAAATGCTTGCAAAATTGTATACACTGATATTGAACAACTTAGAAACACTGATTTGTTTCGTTTTGCATAGTCTTTTACAGCACTGAAATGACATCTATTGATTTCAATTCAGAATCAAATCTGAATATTAATTCTATAATCATGTTATTCAAGAGAATATAGCCTTTACCAAAATAAGTGAGTGCAAAACATAATAAAAAATCCAAAAATATCATACATTCAATAATGTTGAAAATAGTTATAAATAAGAAAACAAATGGATCTTAAGACACATAGGACATTAAGAAATTATAAACCGGTAGTTTACTCTATTGAGCTATAGAGGTCAGAAAATTATTTCATAGAAACAAATCATCTTTAATCACATCTTACTGCGTGCATCTCACGAAATTTTTCGAAGATTGATAAATTGTGTGCATTGACCATGAAATCAGTTTTGCAATTGTTAGGTTAATAAAATCAAAGAATACAAATCATTATGTATTTAATTAGGTAAGACAGCTATATATTCCTACTTTTTTGGTAAATGTTACTATTTTTTTCTACCAATTACCTACGTTTTGGCAAAAGTCATGTTTTTCATGTTTTACAGTAAAAATTATAGAAATGAATGCTTTTTAACCAAAAGGTTTTTATTTTTTATATTTAGAGAATATAAGACGATCGACTCAAAAGACGAAAGGACCTGTCAAGTTTGAGGATCATGACCAACCGTCGCTACGTAATAGGCGGCCAACAACTATACCAAGGGAAGCCACGCCGATAATGTCTTCGGTTGGTACACCTCTACCTAGGCAACCTTCATCTACGTCAGCAGCACCCAGACCTGCTCCTATGCCACATACCCCACAGCAATAGCCCTTTCACCCAAGACAATAGATCCTTCACCCACGACAATAACACCAACAACCCCTTTAAGGGGACCTACACCGACGCCAAAGACTCCTACACTTCCGGCTATGCCACCTACATCAACGCCAAGAACACCTACATCCACGCCAAGATCTCCTACACCTCCGGCTATGCCACCTACATCCGTGCCAAGAGCACCTACACCTCCGGCTACGCCACCTACATCCACGCCAAGAGCACCTACATCCACGCCAAGATCTCCTACACCTCCGGCTACGCCACCTACATCCGTGCCAAGAGCACCTACACCTCCGGCTATGCCACCTACATCCGTGCCAAGAGCACCTACATCTCCGGCTACGCCACCAACATCAGCGCCAAGAGCACCTACACCTCCGGCTACGCCAACCTACATCCAAGCTAAAGAGCACTACACCTCCGGCTACGCCACCTACATCCAAGCCAAGAGAACCGACACCTCCGGCTACGCCTACTACATCCACGCCAAGAGCACCTACACCCTCCGGCTACGCCCACCTACATCCCACGTCAAGAGCACCTACATCCACTCCAAGAGCACCTACACCTCCGGCTACGCCCCTACATCCATGCTAAGAGCACCTAAACTTCCGGCTACGCCACTATACATCCAAGCCAAGAGCACCTACACCTCCGGCTACGCCTACTAACATAAAACGCCAAAGAACCACCTACATCCACGCCAAGATCTCCTACACCTCCGGCTATGCCACCTACATCCGTCCAAAGAAGCACCTACACCTCCCGGCTATGCCACCTAACATCCGTGGGCCAAAGAAGCACCTACATTCTCCGGCTAACCACCCAACAATCAAGAGCTGGCCAAAGCAGCACCTACACCTCCGGCTACGCCACCTACATCCAAGCTAAGAGCGCCTACATCTCCGGCTAACGCCACCCTACATCCGCCAAGAGCACCTACACCTCCGGCTACCGCTAACTACAATCCACGCCAAAGGAGCCACCTACACCTCCCGGCTACGCCAACCTACAATCCACGTAAGAGCACCTACAATTTCCACCTGCCAAGAGCACCTCACACCTTTCCGGCTACGCCCACCCTACAATTCCATGCTAAAGAGCACCTACACCTCCGGCTCCGCCAACCTACATCCAAGCCAAGAGCACCTACACCTCCAACTAGCCAAACCTACATCCCACCGCTAGAGACACCTACACCCTCCGGGCTACGCCACCTACATGCCACGCCAAAGAGCCACCTACCACCTTTCCGGGTACGCCACCCTACATCCAACACTGCAAGAGCACCTACATCCGAGCAAAAGAACACCTTCACTTCCGGCTACGCACTCCCCCCCCCTACATCCACACCAAAGAGCACCTACACTTCCGGCCCCTTTGCAACCTAAATCCACGCCAAAAGGAGCACCTACATCTGAGCCAAGAGCTCCTTTCCCTCCGGCTTCGCCTCCTACATCCAACGCCAAGAGCAACCCTACACCTCCGGCTAAAAACGCCACCTAACATCCACCCAAAGAGCACCTACATCTACACCAAGAGCTCCTACACCTCCGGGTACGCTACTACCTACCATCCAAGCCAAAGTAGCACCTAAACACCTTTCCGGCTACCCAAACTACATCTAACGCCAAGAGACATCCAAACAACGCCATAAGGGTTCTCCTACGCCTGCCAGCTAACGGCCACCTACATTTTCCACCGCCCCAAGAGCACTAAAACACATCGCAAAAGGGCTCCTACACCTTACGGCCTAATGGGCCAACCTATATCCACGCAAAGAAGCACCTACCACCCACACCAACGGTTTCCTACACCTCTGGCTAACACGCCACTTAACGACCCACACCAAGAGCGCCTACACGTCCGGCTAGGGCTCTTTCACCACCGCCTGTGACACCCATAAACAACAAACAAAAGCGGAACCATTGGCGCAGCAACTGGGCAAAGGGAACAAGGTAAGAAGACAACCGAGACACAACTTAGTTTTCTAAGCCATGTAACGGAAAGTATACTCTCAAACTAATAAAAATTACACCAGTGTCAAAAAAAGTTGATCCGTCCATATTGATGCAAAAGTAATAACAATAAACGTCATTTCTCCGAAAAAACGGACAAAAATGTTATAAACGGGGAGCGTAAATTTAAGTGTAATGACCATTAAATACAAAAAAAACTATTACCTTTTGAAGAATGGTCAAGTTTTTTAAAATAGTATATGTAAGCTTCTGACACAACAGAAATACAGGATATTTAGATAATGGTTAATTTTACTAGGACTACAATCTAAGCGTCACTTGTGTTTTAGAGTGAAAAAAGTTATGGCTCAAAATATCAGAATTAGGCAAGCGTAGAACTCAAATTATCTCTTTCTTAGTTGTAATTATGAATTTTTTTGTATGGGTCGGAGCACAATAACTATTTCTGATACGAGATGATTTCAATTATAGAATATTGTTCAAGTAGAAGTTTTGCACTTATCGTCATTGCATTAATTGAAGTGGAAACAATCGAGTTCGATGGTAATTGAGACAGACATATAAGACATATGAAAGTACAGGGTCCAAATAAATATTAGATTGTGACTACCGAGTCATTGAATATAATGTGATATTCACCGGCAGTTGACATATTCACAAGGGCAACAGATAATCTTTTTTATTGTTATATACAACCTGGGTTATCATTTTTATAAAAAATTTTTTTTCCCAAGGCCAGGCCCAAAATTAGCAGCTTTAATTTAAGGGAAAAACAAAAAGTGCCGGTACCAAAACCAATTTTTTTCATAACTAATTAAGTTTTAAAAAAAACTTAAATTACCCCAAACAAATCAACACACAAATAAAAAAAAAATTTTTTAAAAATATTTGAAACAGTTGATTTTTAGTAAAAAAAATTTCAAGACAATTTTTGATTTCCAAAAAAAATTCAATAAAAACCTTTTAAAAGGTAAATCCTTAAAAAAAATGAACAGGAGTCCCTCCCTTTAAAAAACACTTTTTTAAATATAATTTTAAAAAGTTACCCTTTATTTTTTGGGGCCCCAAAAACAATGTGGGCCTTAAAAAAAATTCTTTTAAACTTTAAAAGAATTTTTTTGTTGTGGTTTTTTTCGGGTTTTAAATTAATATTTTTCCAAATTTCCACCCCCTTTTTTTCTTTAAATTTTTGGAGGCTGGGTAACAATCATTTTCCCTTTTTTTCGGAAGGGCCCGGTTAAAAAATGATTTTTCGAATTTAAAAACAAAAAAAATTGGTAAACTAAAAACAAATTTTTCCCAGCATTTCCAATTTTAGAACATTTTAAAAATTAATTTTTTGGTTTTTTTTGACAAATTTATAACATGAAATTTGTTAATTACATATAACTCATTTTTAAGACCTTTTTTCTCGTCCGAAAATTTAACATATTCTGTTTTTGCCAAATGCCAAAAACAGTACCGCCTTTGGGGGCTGGTTTATTTTAAACTTTGTGGGCCCTCCGCGTTTTGCCCGATTAAACAAAACTTCTTTTTGGCCCGCGATTACATTTCAAAAACTCAATTGAACAAAATTTTTACCAAATTAAAAATAGGAAAAAAAATTTAAATCGTGGTTAAGTAAAAAAATTTAATTTTCTTTCGGAAAAGAATAAAAAAATGGGCCAAAAAGCCAAAAATGAAAAAAGGGGAAAAAAAAGGCCTCCCCCTTTGAGGCTTT